ATGTCAGAGAGAATATGTTTTAGAGTATTCATTAAAAAATGTTCCTATCTGTTATATGATAATGAGCATGTTTAAGGGATAAATAATTGTAGCCCATATTGAATATGACCTAAGTTCTAAATGTTCATATTTTTTACTCATATATATTTTATTTGATCCTTTTAAAGTTCTGAAACAGTAATAAAATATAATAATGAACTCATAAAATGCAAGAGACTTTGAAAGACATTTCTCAACTTAATGTTTCTCAGGTTATGAATATTGTAAATGATAACAGAAGTTAACACATTTGGAAGTTTGAGATGCTTTAGGGAAAAATATATATCTAATGAACACAGGAAATGAGTGCAAAAAAGTGACTTCATTTTTTAAAAATAAACTCTGAAAAGCTTTTGAGTTGTTGATGACTCATTGGTTGACAACCTTAAATTCCTAATTAATTCACTAACCCTTAGGGTGACTGACTCAAATAAACTGAATAATAAACACTGTTAATGTATTTTAAAATCAACTAAGAATATTTTTCCACTGCTTCAGGGATTAAAAATTATAAGCTTAGTTTTATCCCAAAATAATGCACAAAAAGAATGCCTTTGTCGTGCGTGAGTTTTCAATAATCAGAGAAAACACGCCACTCTCCCCCATATCCCCCTAACCCACACTTCCTCCTTCCCTCCTCCTCCTCTTCCTGCCTTCCTTCCAGTACATGTGGTTTATCAAATATGGATGTAAATGACTCATTTTAGTTTCATAGATCATGTTCAAAGAGAATATAATGGCTCAGAAGGACATAATAATGGCACAATTTTCATGGCAGTTACATACCTACCTGATATACATCAAAACACAGGCACCGATGCATAAAATAAATATGAAGATTCCCATTCCATATGCTGTGCCATCTCAAATGTCAGTGCCTGGTACAGATCATCCCCAGGTACCCCTCCCACACACTCCTAAGATGTGATGAAAATTTCAACCTATATTTTCTGCCTGAAACTTAGATATTTTTCTCTTTACCAGTCCTAATAAAGCCATATTTATTCATCAGATTTTGAACATTTTTAAACCATCTTCAGTAAGCCATCTTACTGAAGAAACAAATGACTTTTTTGGCCAATCCAAGATTTTGCTTCTTTTAATCATTCATGGTATGTTTCAGTAAGGATTAAAATAGGTTAAATTTGAACTGAGGAAACAACTAAAAACTTACCTTTATCTAGCAAGTATTAAATGTTAGCATAACATCCATTTTGATACAAAGTCATGCTAAAAATGTTTTTTTTACTTACATTACTACTAGGTTTTCTAGAATTATATAACAGAAACATTCTTTTGAGCCTGAAAGCCTTAACATCTGATGGTCTAAAAACCAACTGTGGTCTTTATATTTTTATTATCTATCAAAATCAGTATTTACCGCTTCAAAGAAGCTCTAAATTACTATGCTTACATTAAGATTACTAATGCTAAAGTTAATCTAAAGTGAACCACACATCCTGGATTGGGCCACTTGCCTTCATCTGGTGTAGTTACCATTCACCTTGCTTACCAGTCAGCAGACAGCTGGCTCACTGCTCTGTAAAAGCTCGTTTGGTTTGGAGGAATGTATTGGTTCCTTATGGCTGCTGTTCAAAAATTACACAAATTTAGTGGGTTTAAAGTATTTATTCACTTATTTATTCACTTATAACTCTGGAGGCCAGAAGTTCAAAATCAGTTTCACTGGGCTAAGGTCAAGGTGTTGGCAGGTCTGGTTCCAGTAGAGGCTCTGAGGGCAAAATGCACTTCCTCGTCACTAGACCTTTGTCCCTTGCATTTCTTGGCTCCTTCCTCTGTTTTCACAGCCAGCATCTTAGTTAGAATCATCCATTCTCTCTGCTTTAGTCATGTCATCTTCTCTGTAGTCAAATCTTCCTTTGCTCCCTAATTATAAGGACTCTATGATTTCATTGGTTCTACCTAAATAATCCAGGAAAATTTTCCCCATCTCAATATCTTTAATTTAGAGTTGTAATTCCATCTTGCCATATGAGGTAGCATTCACAGTTCTGGGGATTGTGGGCATGGACATTTTTAGGGGCCTTTTTTCACCCTACCATAGGGGATATACGTGGGGTTGGAATGAGGACAATGTAAAGGTTTGAAAGCCCTTAAGTATCACTTTCAGATGGTAATAGCACACATACATGATGAATGCTCACTCTATGCCAACTCAGACACCCTCCTAGACCCTCTACGAGCATCAACTCATTTAATGTACAAGACCACCCAGTGATCTTGTCTCAGTGGTTCTCGGCACCTCTGTTGGGTCAGTGCCCAAGGCCACATGACCAGAAAGTGGAAGAGCCAGGTGCAAATCCTGGTCCTCTGGCTCCAACATCCATAAATCGAAGCAGTGTTCTCTACCGCTGCTCCTGGCCCTGACCTGATAAGCAAACTGCCACAGAGATGGAGACAGGCAAGAGAGATCTTCATTCAGGGCACTGGGAACCCTGCACCTTTGGAGGTGGGACTTTACAGTCTCTGTTCTTACTCATCTCATTTCACAGTGGAGGAATCTAAGGGCTTGAAATTGAGAAATCAATTGAAATTGAATCAATTAATACTAGGAGGTTAAGGGATTTACTCAAGGCTGCATGGAGGGAAGGGGTGAAGTCACTGGGGGCATATTGTGACCTCACTTAGGGCACCTGCGCACTAAGAGCACTCATTCGACTCTCCCACTTCTCAAGAGCACACCTCATGTTAGGAACTGAATTGTAAACTCCCAAATACCTCTGTTGAAGTCCTAACCTCCTGTACTTCAGAATGTAACTATATTTGGAGATGAGTGCAGCATTTGACAATAGTGATTAAGGTGAAAAGAAGCCTAAAAAATGGGGCCCTAATCCCACATGGCTGGTGTCCTTATAAGGAAAGAAATGCCAGAGATATTCATGCACAAAGGGAAGGCCACATGAGGATACGGACAGAAGATAGCCATCTGCAAGCCAAAGAGAGAGGCCTCAGGAGAAACCAAACACCTTGATCTTGGACATCTAACCCCCAAACCTGTGAAAAAATGAATTTCTATTGCTTAAGCCACTCAGTCTGTGGTATTTTGTTATGGCAGCCTTGGCAAACCGACAGACCCCAAGACAGGCCACAAGCCTTAGAATCTCTTTACCCTGGCAGCAGCTGGCCCCTGACCCAGATTCCTGAGGTTTCCCACAAGAAGAAATGGAGTTTCTGAATAATTGTCAATATTTAAAAAGCCTAAGGGAAATGCAGAAATAGTCTAATTAAAATCCCAATACAGTGGCATCAATTAGCTCGTGTTCATCTGAAGGTTTAATTACAGAATGTATCTTTGATTAATTTAAAATGAGGAAAGTTAGTTATCACTTAATAAAGTTGATTTGTTTGGTAAATATAAAACAGGTTTTCTGAGGGAGAGGGGCTGAACAAGAACCATTGCTGTCAGCCCCAATTCTTTTATCTGCATCCTCTAAGACCCATGCTGTTTAATCCTCTTCACATTGTTAGAGCTCTTTCAGGCATAAACTGAGCAAATTGCATGACTTTAGTCATTTGTCACCTCAGGGGTGTTGAGAGCCATTGTTTTTAAATCTGTATCACTGACTTTTGCTAGATACTATTATATATCTGGTTATTTTTCTGAGAGTCAATGAAATTTTAAGTGAAAATGCTCCTAAGTGTATTAGTCTGGGTTCTCCAGAGAAATTGATCCAATAGGAGATAGATATATACAGGGAGATTACCATAAAAAAGGACTGGCTCACGTGACGGTGGAGGCCAAGAAGTCCCACAATCTGCCTTCTGCAAGATCGAGGCCCAGGAAAGAAGGCAATGTAGTTCCTTCAGGTTCAAACCTGAAGGCCTGAGAACAAGAGGAGTCAAGTGTGTACACTCAGGTCCAAGGGCAAGATGGATGTCCCCGCTCAGGCACAAATTTGCCTTTTCCTCTGCCTTTTTGTTCCATTCAGTCTCTCAATAGATTTGATGATATTCACCGGAATTGGTGAGCACACGGATTCAATGCTAATCTCTCCTGTAAATCCCCTGGAGATGTAGGCGTCCCTTAGCCCAGTGAAGATGACACATAAAATTAACCGTCACATCAAGAGAACAGAATATGAAAATAGCTTAATTAAATAGGTGAAGGAACCTGCCTCTCTAATCTGACAGAAGCAAAATAAAAAAGTCACAGCACCCAATACATGCACTAGAGTATTAACAACCTTCTGGAGAACATGTCTGAAAATTTTAAAAACAATACTTTAAACAGAAATTTACATTTTACTTAAAAATTACAGCAAATGTATGGAGAACACAAATTTTTATTAAGAAATTTATTAAATGTTTTATGGTAAAATATTGAGCCCACTCTATTACCATACACAGGCTTGATGGTCTAATAAGTAACACTGTGCCTCAATTTCATGATGCCAACACAAGGTGGAACTGTGGCAACCTACAATCAGAAATATATCTTCCTTCTCTTCTTCCACAGCAAATGCAATACTGATGTTCAGAAATGTTTAGGTGTTGAGAAAAACCTGTAAAGTTCCCTAAGTATTCCATTAAACGATTCTTAAAATTATGTTACTTTAATGGCAAACATGGAAAATTTTTGATGGAAACACCCACTTTAATATTTACTATCTTCAATAACTGAGAACCACAATCCCTAAAATGTATTATATCATAAGAAAGTCACTGGAGTCATCACCAGGCTTTCCAGCACAAGGTCAATTTCAAGGCAATTTATCAGGGACTGAATTTTCTCAAATTGCCAAGCTAGTGATATGTGAAGATAAAAAGAAATGTCAAGGTTAGCGGATTATTTCCCAAAACACAGGATCTAAAAAATAGTGGGGGGAAATATGAATGTGAGAATGAGTGGATATTGGATGACGATAGAGATGACTAGCAAAAGGAACTGAGACTAGCATTAACTAGCATACAATGTATTTTAATTCATTAGTCAACACTTTCTTCATGTATATTATTACTATTTTAAAGTAGCATTTCAAAAACTTAATTAGTCCATTCATTTTTTAAGTGAGTTGCAAAGAAATTTTGATTCTGGATATTTAGAGTAATAGCTGATAGAATTTGATTTCTTACCCCAAGGAATATCTTGCATTCTCAGCCATAACTCTTGAATATATGGCTCCTTGATAAAATATTACTACATAGTACTGATGTTAAAAAATATCTAGCTACCAACTTAACCAATTCATATCAAGTAGCTCACAGACAATTCAACCAATTCATATTATTTAGCCCCACACAGAAGCTAGATCTTTTTTCTTTTAAATAATCTAACCAATTCTATACAAAAAAAATTATTCAGAAAAGCACACCTAAGATTTGCACTCCTACTCATTCATAAAAAAATATGATGGCTTGGGCCTGAATTTGGTACTCCTAGTCCACACTTTGGTTCCTGGTATACCTTTTCAAAAGTGGACACTTCATTCTATGAATATGATTATCAATGAGAAAATTAAAAGTAAAGGAAATGAGCTTTAATTCGAGTGGAAGTATTTTGTATTCATATTAATAAAAGAGATCATGCTTTCAAATGAATGGAAAAAATAAAATCATATGTGATAATATAGAGTACCGCATCTTGTAACCCAAGCATACAACTATCTCCATTACAGAATTAAGCAGCCAGGTCTAATATACTACAAACCATTTGATTAAAAATGTTTATAAACAATGCTTTAACAAGGACACACTGCTGAAAATAGTTTTAAAATATATAGTGTTGTAAAATGATATATTTCAAAACATTAAAATCTTGTTTCAGAAGTTCCCCTCTTTAGGTTGTTACTCAAAAACTCATCATGTTCAAAACTCAAATTATTGTGAGATCTTGAAATCATAAGAAGCTTCTCCTTATTGGTAAAGTCTTTCCTGATTGCAGCTTGGGGCACAAGCAACCTCTCCATTGGGTCCTCTTTGTTCTCGAGTTTCACGTATCCTTTGCTGTTGCTTCGATCCAACCGAGGCCAACTTGGATGTTTCCGTTGTTCTGCGTGAACAGTTAGGGTGGAGCGACCTCGGTCTAAGTCTAGGGATTTTGAATGTGATGACAGTACTTGCAAGGATGTGTTGGACCCAAACTGTCTTCTAGCAGCCCCGGGAGACAACAGCTGTCCAGCCCCAGGTCCAAGGGCCACAGTGGACTTGTATTGACTAGACAATGACTCTCCGATGGAATTATTCCTCGGCAGTGCCATGCTGATGGGCTGGAAGCACTCACTGGTGTTGGGCAAAGGGACCACAAGGGAATCCATGGACGAATTCCTTGACCTACTTTTGAGGTTCTCAGCATCCTCCGTGATGTTATCTATACTGGGCTCATCAATAACACAGTTATTAAGTTTGATCACAGGCAATGTGAAAGCACTGATGGATGATGATACAATTGACTTGGTTTCACATTTCTTAGAGCAGCTGGTCTTATCCTCAGTTGTCTTGGAAGGAGGTGGGTAGATGCCAAAGACAGAGACAGAGCTGTCAGACAGCAAAGGCGGCATAAGATGCCCCAGACTCTTATTTTCATTTGGCACAAGCTCATCCTCTTCAACAGAGCTGTCCATCCGAAAACTGCTCCTAAGACCTGAGAAAGAGGCAATGGTGTTTGCTGCCAGTCTCGATGCACAGGAGCTCCCATTCTGTTTAACATCTGTTTCTCCTATCACACCAGAGTACATGCCATTCATATGCTTCTGCTCCTTGATTCTTAGTGTGTGGATGTCAATGACTGTGGAATAGATGTCTCTCATGTGTATGATTTTGGTTTCTTTGTCACGGTTCTCATGAAGAATGGCATTAGCACAAATGAAAATGAAAATGCCAATCCCCATTGTGAAAGGACCAAGCATTTTCATCTTATCAGAATGTAAATGCTGCTCAAAGAAGCGAACCACCACACCACTTTGGTTCCGAATGACCTGAGTTTCGTTTGTTGACAACGTGGTCTCAGTGTCAATAAAATGTTCTTTTTGGGGCCAATATCCAAGAACTGCCATCGCAATTCCTATAATGGAAATAAGCACTCCTAAAATGAGGAAGAAACCAGAGGGGGAATAAAGCCGGATTTTGCCTCGAACAACCACAACATCAGCCTGAGGTCGACGCCTGACTGGTTTCTTCTCTTGGGCAGCAGGCGATGGGCTGAGGTTGACGTGATGCTGTGATCTGGCCGAGTCTTGCCTTTTCAAGGCAGCCAGGCCAGTTATCACTCCACCAGTCGCTATCATAGCTCAGTCTTTTTTTCTGGAAGGAAAGAAGAAAGATGATATTCTAAATATGTTTTGGGGAAGGCTCATAAATTCAACAATTGTTTATATATTGATGTTGTCATTCCATATAATGAAATGGGACAGAAGAATAGTTTTTTAATTGACATAGTTTGGGCAGAAGGTTTATTTACTGACTAATATAAAATCCTGAGGACTTCTTTTGGCTGAATTAGTGTCTCTATTATTAATGAAATGCAAGTTCAAGGTCTATTTTACTTAACTAATTTCACTACTTTTTATATACAATTGTCCCCTGGTCATGATCACAAGACCTTCTACCCCGTCCCATCACCACCACCACACACTCTACCCTCCTTATCTGTGTTATTTTAAAGAAGTGGGAAAATCCAAAACACCCAACAGCCCCAAACAAACTCCAGACTTAAAAGGAAAATACATTCCAGCAGCTCCCATTTCTAAGACCACTCTTGTGAACGTCACCCATGAACTCATAAACTCCCACCTTTAATTTCTCAATTCTCATCTTCCTTACATCTCTATTTCCATACATATTACTGTCCCCTCCTTTCCTGAAACTCCTGCCCAGTCTTTAATGATTCTAAGTCTTCTGGCTCTTCCCTGACCTCATTGTTTCCATTTTGGCTCATCATTCCTCATCTAAAAGTAGACCATCATCCCCTGAGGGTCCTGTCCTTGGCCATCTTCTCTTTATACACTCTCTTGGCATTCATATCCACTCCTACACCTTCTACCATTTCCTTTATGCTAATGACCCCCAAGTCTATATTTCAAATCATAGCCTGAGTTTCAATTTCACATTTCCAGCTCTCCAGTGAGAGATGTGCATACATTCAAGCACCAGTAGTAAAGCTGAACTTAACTTTCTACCAGCACTGCTTCACTTTTTTTTTAAAAAATTTATTTTTAGAGAGAGGGGAAAGGAGGGAGAAAGAGGGACAGAAACATCAATGTGTGGTCTTGTGGGCTCCCAACTGGGGACCTGGCCCACAATTCAAGCATGTGCCCTGCCTGGGAATCGAACCAGCAACCCTTTGGTTCGCAGACCAGCACTCAATCCACCGAGCCACACCAGCCAGGGTACTTCTTAACTTTTTTAATGGTGGTGTTCTCAGGCTTGACTCTTCATAGCCTTTTTAAACCCCACTCTTTCTTATTCCTCTCGTCTTCCAACCAGGTTCTAATCCCAGAAATGTTAACTACATGACTCAACTCTACCCTCCATTCCAACCTACTCTCCCTAGCCCCAGCAGCTCTTACTAACTCTTACTAAACCACTGTAATAACCTCCCATCTGCTCCTCCAAACTTCAATTTCTCTCCCTGCACAATCAAGCTTACTCGCTGAAGTTGGATTGATTTATCTAAAACACAGCTCTGAAGTTGTTTAAAGAGTGGAATAATGGATAAAATATTCTCCACTACCTACCGAAGTTTAATCTGGCATTTCGAACCTATGGAATTTAGCTCTATTTCTGACTGCACCCTTTTGTTTACGTAAAACTAAAACCCACCTATAATCCACATTACACTGTTCCAGAGACTTTGTTAATAATGCTTCATCCATCAAGAACCCTCTCACCCCTCCTCCCCAATTTCACATATTGGCGTCTGGCCTAGTCATCAAAAATCTTATCCCACTTCCCTTCTTCTCGGACTGACTCTGCAAATCCATGAGATCTCTCATTCCTCGGAGCATTTTGGCAAGTTTTCTATGGCACTCTTCCATATCTTGTAGCCAAACATCAACTTTAGTTCATATCTTTATCACCAGAAACATTCACTAAAGTACCTTTTGCATGGCCACTGCTCAAGACGTATTCACTACAGTGTCCAATACGGGAGTAATTCTTCTCCTGAGATTTGCTGAATGACCATCACATCAGTATACTAAATTTCCTAGTTAAAACCATCAATGAAAACAGAAACCATACCAAAACAAGAAAGCAACATTTTGTGAGCTGGTAAAATATTTGTCTTTATTTGTAATGAGAAATTCTCAAGCTGCCACATCTGACTGGTAGGAAATAGAAGATATTTTTAAGACCCACAACGTCTCTGGTGAATATCCGAGAGGGTTTCTTCACAGCAACAAGTCTTGCAAAGTCGAGCTCTCCTTTTCAATTTCTACTTACGATTTCTGAATTGTGTTAAAAAAACAGCCTCCCCTTGGGATGGTACCTACCCTTTTAGCTGAACGAGCTGGTGAGTAGATCCAGCCTTCCCTGGAGTTAAACTGGGACTAAAGAGTTTAATGATCAAAGAACAAACTACATTGTAACCCATAGCTCTAGTCTATAGAATTTATCAAAGTACATATATTACAGTTTTAAACTTCCCCCAAACCTTGCCCAAAACAGAACTTAGTGTCAGCTTATGTTTTCTTATATAAAAAAACAGTTTTAAGTGTTTGGGAAAAGTGCTTATTAGAGAGCAGGCACCTCACTCAGTTATTCCCATATGGCAGGATAGGGTTTACTCTGAAATCCTTCCAAATCGAATGAAAACAAAGGCAAAAGGCCTTCGCCTGGTTTAAAAACAACCACCGTGAATTACCATCCATTGCAGACTCTTAGTCCTCCTCCACTTGGTACAACAATTACTGCAAGCTGTGCCGTTTTCTATTCCTGAGGCTAATACAGAAAAGGGGGCAGAAAAAAAAACATATATTTTGAAGGACAGATAGGACTAAGAAGGTGGAAAAGAGTCATGAGGGATTGAGTTTCTTTGTGAGTAAGCAAAGTGGGTTAAATAGGACAAGAAATAGCAAGGGCAGTTTAAGAGTATGACAATTTATTTTAAAAATGAAAGGAGAAAAGACTCCTGGAGGAGTTTAGAAATAAAGAATCGAATTGGGAGAAATCAAAGCACCACACAGCTTCTCCGGCCAGCCGGCCCTGGTGAGCTCTGGAGGCCACCCTGATCCCTGGATCAGCAAACTTGGGCTGGGAGCCCTTGTCCTCCTTTAATTCCACTGGGGGCAGTTCGACACTGTGGGCCTCCATTGTGACTCAGGGACCCAGCTCTGAGCGGAAAGCCAAGGTGTGCAAACTCAGCTGCTGCTTGAAAAGCTTAGACCCTAATGAAGGAGCTGTCATATCCACTGGAAACAATGGGACGACCCCTACAATGAAAATTTCAATTAGGGGGGCCTTGGCAAAAGCCTTCAGGCAGGCAGCTCCACTGTAGCATTTAAAAATCAAGTAAACCGCCTTTCAGGTAAGGTAAAGAGAAGAAAAGCTGGATAACAGAGCTCCGGCCTGCCTTCACACACAGATCAGCACTGGGGGAGGAAACCAGGTAAAGACAGAAGGGGAAGGAGGGCCAGGACCTGGAAATTAGGACGTGTCACGCCTACATGCTTGATTTTACACTCACATGCAACAGAGTTGGAGTAAGATACAAGCACTGCTGCCGTTACCTTAGGAACATCAATCTCAATTTGTAGATGAACACAACCGTGCAGGTCTGATATTGGGAAAGAGCGTGGGGATGCTAAGGGCAGTTTTGCAGTTTGAAGCCTAGTGAGACTGTGCACCCTGGAGGGACTACAGGCACAGGCCTCTGCATCTGCTGCTACAGAGCCCACCTGGTCCAGACTGCTCCATGGAAGCAAAGCAGCCGAAATCTACTTCTCAGTTTATGCTGCAAAGCCACATCCTACACATTCATCACTTCATGGGATGGGGTGGAGGCAGCAGTGTGGAGGGCTTTTAAGTTTTAACAATAACCATAATAGTAATGCTATAACATACAAACATGCACTCCTTAGGGTCAGGCATCGTACTAAGTGCTGCAGGTATGAGGTCATATTTATTCTCACAATTCTGGAAGTGGCTATAATCTCTACAAGGCCTATTTTGCAGATGAGAAAACTGGAGCTAAGAGAGTTTAGGTAACGGCTCGGGCAGGCTCTCATAGAATTTGAAACAGAGATGGGCCTCCAAGTTTGCCTTCACTGAGATCCTCTTTCCCTGTCAGTTTTACTTCTATTGATTCCTCTTCCCGTCAGAACACTAGACCTTAGAGAATGCTCTTTGCCTTTAAAACTGTGACCATGGGCCAATGAAGTATCATTTCTCAAATCACAATTTCTCAAATTCACACATGGGAAAGGCCACCAGGTGGAGAGGAGGGTAAAGGACCACCGTCCTACAGAGGGCCAGGACCTCGCACCCCTGTCCAGATCCCCTTCGGTATGTGTGCAGAGGCAGGCTCAGGAGAGACCAACCCCACCGAAGACCTCCTCTCTGCTCTCACCCATCCTTGACAGGGCTGGGCAGAGACATTTCCTCAAAGAGCCAAACGAAAAATTTGCCTACAGTCGATTTTACTTTGTTAACTTGGGTACAGCTTTTGCTGACCAGTCTCTGAATTCAAAGCTTCACCTAAAATGTAGATGAAGAAAGCCCTGTGGCATTCCAGTAGAGACCTCCTTCTAGGGAGACATTGTTAGTTTGGGTGAATATTCATTCAGGTAATTAGGGAAAACTTATGTTTGGTAGTACAGTAGATATAGGGCTCAAAGTATGTCTCCTGACCCCAAGATTATAATGATCAGCTACTACCTTTTTGCAGAGTTCATTTGACTAGTTATTAATAAGCCTAGCTAAAAGGTCAGCCACAATTGGTTTCCTTATTCTCATGATTTTTATGATTTTACCGAAAGCCAAATGAAAAGATAGATAGATAGATAGATAGATAGATAGATAGATAGATAGATAGATAGATAGATATTCTGCTGACAACCAAAAAACAAACAAAAATTTTTTGGTTAACTCTTGGCTACATATTAATCATTCTATTTTCATTTCCAGTGTTCACAAAACAGCCATAATTTTGCTAGCAAGAGCTCTCAAGATCGCCAGCTTAAAATTTGCACAACACCCCTTTTTCTTCACTGTGCAGACCAGGGCTATCTCCAGGCCTCTGCCATCTTATCACAGTACTCAAAAATCATCAGCAGAAATTCAATCTCAGTACTCAAAAATCATCA